CAATAGATTACAATTAGACATAGCACAAACAACATGTAAGTAGTGCTACGTAACAAGTAAACGGCAAATGGCAAATGACGAAGATGGCCAGGAACCACATCGCTTGTACAACACAGCTAACAAAGCTGCCAGGGAAAAGAATCTGTGCAACAATTTTTTCGCTCAAACCTCAAATGGAAACGTGAATGTCTTTCACAACTGTGGCAGAAGAAAAGTTCGAAGAGAATCAAAGATGTGTTGAAAACAACGCGACACAGACTGAGAGGAAAGAAAACAAAGGCAATAATGAGGAGAGTGAGAAGTAGAACAAAAACATGGGACAGAGAAGAGGAAGGAAAGAAAAATAGAAGCTGATTAGAGCAGAAAGACATGCAAATGAGTCAGAGTTGTTAGTGCCAGTTTCATCGTCATCTGAGGTATAAGAGCCAATGACAGAGTGCCCAGACTGACGATTTGGTTACTCATGATTTAGATGACGTTGGTTGCTGCAGCAAAGATTTGGAGAATAGAAACAAGTAAAAGAATATAAAGTTAAACGAAAGCGAAAGAGCAATAAAAAAAGTTCAAAAGGAAATCAAAGAAAAAACAGGTAATAAGGAAGACAATAATTGGCACGATACAAAATTCAACGGTGCGCTCAGCTACCATCCTCCAGGCAAAGAATGCACTGCAAACTTTTCTAAAGCGTGACAGTGCTGCATGATTATTCTGCTCTATTTTGTTGCCAAATACTTGAAAACCTTTTGGACATAGTAAACATTTTTCTGCTATCTGACTGTTAGAATATGGGCCCGGGTATATAAAAGCGCTGAGGCATCGGTCACATGCAAGACAACGACCAAGCAATACGAAAAGAAGATAAGGTGATTTAACGCCGCAAGTACTGTCTGCCACTGACAACCGAGTAAACTGACTTCCAGACTTTCAAACACCTCAAAATGTTGCTTCACACGTGGAAAAAGTCAGTCATCGATTCAAAACTTCCATAATGAGGCACGCATACAAAAAAATAGAAAAGGATTATAAAAACGAATATCCGATACCAGTAAAAGCATCTGCTCTTGTTGCATCGTTCGGTTCACCGTTGTGTCAAAGCACATCTGGTCCATGGACTCGAGCTGTCGACGGAAATCGGTGATCGCCGACGACACCACCTTCGCCTGGTTGTGCCGAAACGCGGCACGCGTTTCCATAACCGAAGCTTTTATCCGCTGGAGGTCATCGGTGATGGCAACGAGGTCGTCCTTGACACTAGGCGCATAGGATTTCGCTGAGCGAAATTTTAGCGTCAGTTTGTTGTTGTCGTTGATACACTGTTCGACCGAACGAAACAGCTTTGTGAACTCGTCAGGGGCGCCATTGTGACCTTCGGACAGCATGCTGTTTACCTTCTGTAGAGCTGAATTAAGAGGAGAGATTCTTTGCTTTA